CGAAAGCAAAAGCACTTTATTTGGCCTTCCGAAAGTAGATGCATTTAGGAATCTTTAAGATTACTTACAACAGAACAGCAATGCATTTTATGGACGACCGTTTCGTGAACCTAGGAGAGGAGGTAATTCTGACTTTGCTATGACAATCTGGCGCTTCTGAATCAGCCACTATAACTATGTTTTGTTATTAGTTTAAGTATTTGCTATTGACTGTTCAAATGCGGAGTTTTGCGCAGCGCAGAGTAACGCGTCGTGTGTGTGTGTGTGTGTGTGTGTGAGGGGAACAGGGTCACATCACAGGAGAGTGAACTGCCTGTCAGAAATCATAGCACGTCATCTGTCTTAACCGCGGCTTGTGTACTGCATCATCACTGTGTCTGTCTCTGTTGCCCTTTCGGGCTTGAACTGATGGTAAAACTAACCACATTATTAACTGTCTTGATATTTACTTTGAAAGCTGAAGCTCGCGATTATGTTAAGGGGCGTTACATTTCCGACGAGTGCTTGTAGTGTTCGGCCAATCACAATGCACTGGGTCAGCTGGCCAATCAGAGCAGACTGCACTTGTCAAAGGAGGGGGCTTTGTTGAAAACGAAGTGATTGAGAGAGGCGGGGCATAGAGGACCTACAATAATGTACAGTATTTGAAAAATAATGTGTTATTTGAACATTAAAGCATGTCAACATATTCTGTTACACCAAATACACCAAATAATGATCTTTAAAATAGCATCATATGACCCCTTTAAAAAAGATGCAAGTTTCATTAAAACGTGATCTGAATGGCTATTACGTTCTAAAACACTTTTTTGTGCTTTCATCTCCACAAACACAATTTTTTATGGCCTATGTTTACACTAAATCAGCATATATTAAATTACTTGGTATGAAGTGAGTTAACTGTGCTAACATACAGATTATGTAACATCTGAGTATACTTGACATATAATGACATCTAGCTGTCCTGATAGGGTAGTAGGTTAGAATGTGTCATTATGCAGCATTAATAAAGCAGCATTCTGAATTGAGAGACACTCATGATTGAGACCATTTAAGAGATAGATCACCCAAAAAAATGTTGTCCATACAATCAAACTCAATGAGGTTTTGGACCCTATTTACATTCATTTTATGGGCAAAAATACTCATCAAAATAATTTCTTTTGTGTTCCGAAAAAAATAAATAAATAAATGTTTTTGGAACAGCATAAGGTGACAATTTTCATTTTTGGGTGAACTGTCCCTTTAATGCTGTGAGTAGTGCTAGTGAATCTCAAGTAAGAATGGCACACGTGTTCTGCAGATACTGGTATCAGCGTCAGACAATAATGGGCAGCAAATCAGGGGCAGCATGCCAATCGATCTGGATTACATTCTGCATTGCACGTGAAAAGGGAAGCAAAACAAGGCTGGCAGCAAGTCCACAGAGCTGACATGAACATGCAGGTTTAATGTCTTTTTTTGTTTTTTTTTTATTTAAATTATTGTAATTTTTCTCTTCCTCCTCTAGGGTTCGAAGAGGGTCTACTTACCGACATCGCAGCATGATCATTGTTGTTATTCTGAGCGGAAACCCCAAGAAAATAAAACACGGACAGGGAAAGAAAGTATAGCGATAATAAATGGACAGACAAAGGAAAATCAGAAAAACCAAGCATGCCTGGCAGAAAATAAATCAAGGAATACATTCACTTACAGGAAAGATGTTACATTGTTGAGAAACCAAAGCATAGCCAACTTAAACTGGAGGTTAAAGTAATTTGTTTAAGAGGACAGGGCAGCTGAAGAGATGCATGCATGCTGTATCATTCTCAGTGAATGGATGGGCTGGGAGTTGTCTGTGTGGATTATGTGCAGGAATAGACAGAGATTTGATTGGTTTTGGATATGGACATTGCATGTTTGTGTAATGACACCTATAACACCAAACACGACATTCCTGTGCACATATGCATTGATTTACACCTAATATCAAACAGTGGAAAGTCAAAAGAGGGGCATAAACTAGAAAATGTGTTGGCTCCTAGAACTTCCGCCCAGGTATGACCATCTAAACACCTATAAATGCAACACTGATTGACGCCACACATGCAATAACACACATTACATGAACTCACAGGTGAAGAATGGTCACAAATTCATGGCGAGACTGCATATGAATAGGATGGTATGGAACTTACTGGAAGGTGTGTGAAGACCTGGAAGGTGCTACGCAGGAAGTTAATGAGGTCCATGAGGTAGCCGCTGGCTCTGCCGTCCGACTCTGCCATGCCCCACTCATAATCAGCCAGCTGAATGAATTCATCAATCTTCTGGTTGAGTTTGGTGTATATTTCTCCTTCGGCTGCATGTCTAGCATCCTAAAAATAAGAAACCATGCATTCAGAATTTTCCTGAAGTGCACACACACTGGTACAACCAACTACTAAATGATTCCTGGGATGCTTTTAAACAGTATTGAAATGTACTTGTTAAATGTTGCAACAATTAAATGTATGCTTTTTTGTTTCACTTTTAAAAAAGGTAAATATTCCCTTTCAAATGCAATTCCAAGTTGTAAAACCACCACATTTGGAAAATTCCTCCAGAAGTGTACAAACACTGTTACAATCAATTGCCAACTGAATCCTGAGATGCATTTAAATTTGTTTTACTTTTGACACTACAATCCAAAATATTCACATGAATATCAAATGGCAAGCATTTTTGGCATATTAAATGGTAAAAATGTTCTATCGAATGCAAGATTAAAAAACAGCGAAATGTGGAAAATTCCTAGTTGCACTGGAAATCAATTGCCAACTGAAGCAATAAATGTTGCAACCACTTAATCGTCATGCAACAATCAAACATAATTTGCATAGATATCAAATGGTAAACATTTTGCAGATCTCAAATGGTTAATAATTATCTAACAAATGCAATTCCAAGTCGCAAAACAACAAAATGTGAAAAAAATTACTTTAATACTTATGCAATGTGGAAAGGGGTAATACTTAAAGGGGTCATATGATGCGTTTTCAAGTTTTCCTTTCTCTTTGGAGTGTTACAAGCTGATTGTGCATAGATAAGATCCCTGAAGTTGCAAAGACTAAAGTCTCAAACCCAAAGAGATATTATTTATAAAAGTTAAGACTCTGCCACGCCCCCCTAAAACGGCTCGTTCTAACACGCCCCCACATATCTACCTCACTATGTGGGAATATTAGCATAATGCCGCCCAAATGTGCACGCAAAGAAAGAAGGCGTGGTTTCAGTAACCACAGTTAGTGTTGAAGCAGCATGTCAGGGAGACGCTGTGTGTTTCTAGGCGAAAGCAAAAGCATTTTATTTGGCCTTCCGAAAGTAGATGCATTTAACAATCTTTAAGATCACTTACAACAGAACAGAAATGCATTTTATGGACGACCGTTTCGTGAACCTAGGAGAGGAGGTAATTCTGACTTTGCTATGACAATCTGGCGCTTCTGAATCAGCTACTGTTTTGTTATTAGTTTAAGTATTTGCTATTGACTGTTCAAATGCGGAGTTTTGCGCATCGTGTGTGTGCGTGCGTGCCTGCGCGCGTGTGTGAGAGAGAGAGAGCGAGAGAGACCAGCTTCATCACTGTGTCTGTAACGCGACTCTGTTTCCCTTTCGGGCTCTGTCTTTACATTTATTTTGAATGCTGAAGCGATTATGGTAAGGGGCGTTACATTTCCGACGAGTGCTTGCGGTGTTCAGCCAGTCACAATGCACTGGGTCAGCTGGCCAATCAGAGCAGACTGCGCTTGTCGGAAGGAGGGACTTTGTAGAAAACTAAGCATTTGAGAGAGGCGGGGCATAGAGGACCTACAATAATGTACAGTATTTGAAAAATAATGTGTTTTATGAACATTAAAGCATGTCAACATATTCTGTTACACCAAATACACCAAATAATGATCTTTAAAAAGCATCATATGACCCCTTTAATACTTATGCAATTCATTGTAATCAAACTTGAGCAATTCCAACATGCTTCTGCGCGTTTAATGACTGAAAAGAGGTCACCTGATAACACCTTCATTTCGACCTCTGTCATCTATGCTAGCTTTTCATGCTACAATTAAAAATATTTTCTAGGCATATCAATTGCTAAACGTGGTGGACCTTAAACGGTTAAAAAAATCCTTATCTAATGCAATTTCATGTAGTAAAAAAACGAAATGTGGAAAGGGGTGGGGGTGAATACTTATGAAATTCATTGTAATCAAACTTGAGCAATGCTAACATGCTGATGCATGTTTAATGAATCAAAAAGAGGTCACCCAATAACACCTCTGGTTTGATACATTTAACACAGTAGCATCAAAACAAGCTCAGTATGCAGTTCGTGAAGCCTGAGGCGGCTCTTGTCCTGTGCTGTCGATGACAGATTTACTCTGAGGGAACCACTCCAGATGGCTGCTCTCTGATCACAGTGAGCCCATGGCGGGAGTGAAATGTGTAATTAAAGAACATGTCTGTGAATGACTTTTACCTTGAAGGTGGAAAGCCCGTAGAGTCTTGTGGTATGAACCGTTTCCGGAGAAACATTGGTGATGTTCGTGATAAAATCCTCCAGGTATTTACACGCGTGCTCTAAATGGGTGGTGTTGATGATAATTTGAACTAGCTGAAAAACATAACAGAAAGGAAGGTATACGTTATTTTCGAACTGAGCTTCGCAGACAGAATGAGGCGATTCGTCACATTAACGTTACCTCAGTTAATCCTATGTGTGGCTTTTTGATTAGATTTTGTAAGCAGCTGCTCAACGTCCTCGTCAGCAGCAGGTTGGTGGATTTACGGAGCATGTCGTCAATCTCAGTTGAGCTGAAATACAAGTTAACCAAGAAATATGTTCAATCTTTGCACAAAGACTTACTTTTTAATTATGTCTCATAAGATAGTCGACAGGACACATTGTTAACTCTTGCACGGATTGTTAGCTCATGCAAATATATACTCAGTTTCCTCTGACACATAGAAGGTTAAATCACTTTTAAAGGCTTTGTCTGGACAACCGCATGTTATTTTCTTGATCAGGTGAACCTAAATTTGATGATATATTTGAATGGCAATCATTAAAAAATAGTGCACACCATAACAGTGAACTCAACATATTTGACAGTCAATTATTATACTCCTTGACAATAGGTTATCGTAAGGCAAGGCAAAGTTTATGTATATAGCGCATTTCATGCACAATGGTAATTCAAAGTGCTTTACATATAAAAGGAATTAAAATCATCATAAAAAATATAAATCATAACAATAAAAACAATTTAAATGACTTAAAAATTAATTAAAAGAGTTAAACATGTTTATATATATAAAATGATATAAAATGATGAATACAGAATAAAAATGATTATACAGTGCAAACAGTTCGGACGTAGCACAGTGCTCATTTAGTAAAAGCACAGCTAAACAAGCACATCTGATCTCTTCTGGAAGCTGATTCCAACTGCAGGCGGCATAATAGCTAAAAGCAGATCACCCTTGTTTTGTGTGAACTCTTGGTATTTCTAACTGACTCGATCCTAATGATCTGAGTGGTCTGTTAGGTTTATATTCAGTGAGCATATCTGCAATGTATTTAGGTCCTAGGCCATTTAGTAATTTATAAACGAGTAAAAGTACTTTAAAACCAATCCTAAATATAACTGGAAGCCAGTGTAAAGACCTGAGGACTGGTGTGATATGCTCAGATTTTCTGGTTCTAGTCAGAATTCTGGCAGCAGCGTTCTGGATGAGCTGCAGCTGTCTAATGGTCTTCTTGGGAAGGCCCGGTGAGGAGACCATTACAATAGTCCACCCTGCTGTTGATAAAGGCATGAACAAGTTTCTCCAAGTCTTGACTGGAAACAAAACATGTAATTCTTGCAATGTTTTTGAGATGATAGTATGCTGATTTAGTTACTGCTTTGACATGACTACGGAATCACACCAAGATTCCCGACTTGATTTTTAGTTTTATCGTAGATAAAATACTGACAAGAAAAGGACACTTAAAATAATGTGTCCAAAGTGTCCACCACAAAAGAAAAAAATCATCATGATGCTTGATGCATGGTGATAAACCATTTTTTAGTTGCGGGGATTGTTCAGTTAGTTGAACGTTTCATTTTAAGAGCATTTAAATTGAATTTTAAAAACACTTATTCAGACTTTAAAAATAAATTTAATATAGATAATGTTCACTGCAACTTTTTTTTTTTTTAATTGTTATTTCAGAGGATGATATTTTGAGGACATCAATGCTATTTCAAGAAAACAAACAGGATGCGCAAAATATTTGCATGAGATTATTACATGGTTTCGCTAGGATAAAATATTATTTTTTCTAAAGAAGATATGCAATCATCAATGGACATGAAATTGACCTTTTTTTTTGTTGCCATTTTCCACCAAAAATGTAAATTTATTTCAATTGATAGTTTTCACGTGACGTCACACCTTTATAGGAACGCCCACCTGGAGGGCAAAACGAAGCTTTGCTCCACTGACCGACAGTTATTTTTACACAGACTGCATTAAGTAGTAATATAGTAAAACACAGATATTAAAAAGCGACATTCAGTAAACACCTTATTGATGATGTATATTTTGGACAGGCAAGAAGATGAACCTAGAATATAAACACAATGTGCAAAGTTTCACATTAAATGGTTTCCCATAGAAAACAAATATAAGGAAAACACTGAACCATTAAGCGGATTGCGTTCATATTTCGGCCTCATCTGCTTGCCTACGTAAACTATGCATCATTAATATGGTGATTACTGAATTTGATCTTTAATATTACTGTTTTAAAGGGATAGTTCACCCAAAAATGAAAATGTGATGTTTATCTGCTTACCCCCAGGGCATCCAAGATGTAGGTGACTTTGTTTCTTCAGTAGAACACAAACGAAGATTTTTAACTCAAACCGTTGCAGTCTGTCAGTCATATAATGGAAGTGAATGGGAATCACGGCTTTGAGAGGCAAAAAATCATACACAAACAAAACCAAATTAAACCCTGCGGCTCGGGACGATACATTGATGTGTAGACACGAAACGATCGGTTTGTGCAAGAAACTGAACAGTATTTATATCGTTTTTTTTACCTCTGATTCACCGCAATGTCCAAACTGTTCTGAGCGCGTTCTCAACAGTCGGCGCATGGCGCGTCGTCTTCTTGCTTTACTGCAGATCGCAGACATATAAGTGCATTACCACCACCTATCTCTCAAATGGACCATTGACACTCTATCTACAATCAGAATTAGGAGCGTCACTGGTCCATTTTCATTTTTGGGTGAACTATCCCTTTAAATAAATTAAGGCACTTTAAGTGTTTTTACAATGTTTTGTCACACTGTTTACTGATTGAAATATTGCCGCGGGTGCTTACTATGGATTGTAAATGGCCAAAACTTGCATTTTGTTCAAATACCTTTGTTTTATTATTTTGAGAGGTGATCTAAATATTTGAGGCTGGGAAACAGATGGAAAATTGACAGGCTTGTGCTGCAGTACTATGGATGTTTTGCCCTCCTAGTCTTCGAGCCGGTCACGTGACTGAAAGCTATGAATAGGACAGATCAGAATTGACGGGATGCGAAGTGGAAGAGAGATGGGGGTGGGACTGGGAAAGGTTCTCGAGTCGGGATTTGAACTCAGGATGCCTGTTGCGCAACGACACTGTATGGCGGCGCGATGCCCACAAGGCTATCGGCGCTGACTGAAATGTACCTTTTAAATTTTAAACTGACTATACTCAGTATATTAAAGATATGTGGTACCAGGTCACCAATTTCCTATGCTATGCTAGTTTTTAAGCAAACCATAAAATGTTTTGCTCATTCTTCAGACAAACATCTTTTAAATTTAGAACAATATTTTGTCCATTTATTTATTTATTTGCCAAGTAGACACGTAAGATGACAATACTTGAGCAAGAGAGAGACAATTCAAATACAGCGTAGCATTATAGCAGTTGACGTGCTACTCTGCTATTTGCCAGAAAAATTCGATTGTTAGCGGAAAGCAACATTGTTTTGAAAACAACCACGCCCTTAAAAAATGTTAAAAAATGTATTCACATCTCTACTTTTGTACATTATGCCCCCAAAATGATTTTTCTTCTGCAAAATAATTTTTTTCTAAAGAATGCCGTGGTCAAAACAACATTAAACCCCATTGACTTTCATTGTATGGACAAAAACAATTGGTGAGTAAAGATGAGTAAATGGTGACAGAATTCCCTTTTTTTCTCTCTCTCTTTAACCAAGCACAGTATGCTTGCTGTCTGCACCCATTAGTACTGACCGCATCCACAACTAGCCCTACTGCTGCCCAGCACGCTTGTAAGGTGTGAGTGTTTACAGGACACTGCTGGTTGGTGTTGATTTTGCGGTTGGGGACTGTGTGTCTCGGTGTGAGGTGTTGATTAGGAGGGAGTGATCAGGTGGGAAACGCTCCATGAAGAGGTGCAGAGGTCGCTCATTATCGCTTGCTTAAATAACAAAGAAACCATTAGAGAGGAGTGTGAAATCTGCAGTTGTTTGCATTGATTAGTGGAGGGACAGGAGGGGAAAAGACTGTGTTAGACCAATCCATAAATGCTCTGACAGCCTCATGTGGGTCTCATCACACTCTTCTCACTGCTCAAAGCAAAAGCAGCTTGGCTGGTATTCTGTGGAAATGCCTGGGCGAGCGCCGGCTCAGCCACTGCACCACTTTGGTGGAAAAGGGACAATGAGAAGACAGTCGACTGATATGCAACTTTTGACGACCAATACAAAGCCGATATATATATATATATATATATATATATATATATATATATATATATATATATATATATATATATATATATATATATATATATATATCACACCATTCACAATTTAATGCTGCAGTCCATAACTTTTTTGTGTTCAAAATTTACCAAATGTATATAATAAGCGAATACATGATGAATCCATTTTCCAAACCGTGTTTTTGGCTTTTGCTGAATCACTACGTTACACTTATACGTTTTTATATTCTGACTATTTCAGACTGGTACTGGTGGAACCACTGCGGAGTAGCCCAGTACCTGCGTGATTCGTCATAGACATAAACAGAGAGAAGTAGCTTCGGCTACAATGTTCTTCCACAAGATGCATGCAGTTCTGTTTATTAACCGCTAGAGCGCCAAAAGTTACGGACTGCAGCTTTAAAGGTGATAAGTAACACACGCAGCAGTGAAATTTATATTTTTTGACATAATATTTATAACCCATTTTCCACTAAACACAAACACATTTGGTAAATATATTCATTCTGAGACTATTTTGACATCACACAAGGCACTAATTAATTCAATTACTTCGCCAAAATGGCTTTCTTGGAAAAAATCTGTCAGAATATCCATTAACATATTAGACTGATTTCCTCATTGATTTCCAAACTAGAAATCATGTGAAAATGAATCAATATGAAAAAAATGATATATGGTAACACATTATACAATTTAAAGACAGTAAATATCATGCTGCAAATGTTTAATATCTAAATTTAAAATAATTAGAAAATAAATTAATATGAAAAAGACTACTGATATTTATGATATTACACTATTTAAATTGCGGTGTTGCCGCAGTGCTATTTGTTTTACATAGTGCTGTCAAAATCGGCGTTAACGCAGGCGATTCATTTTTACAGTTTGACGGCATTAAAATATTTGCTTGTAGCGCACTCTTCAACTGCATGCACAAATGCAACGCTATGCTATGAAATGTATATAATTTTATATTAAAACACGAAAGAAACTACGATCATGCAATGTCGTAGTTATGTCATCAGTTAAGTCATTAAGTTACCAATAGTCCTGGAGCACCCCAGCACTGTCTCCCTCATCTGACACACCCGATTCAACTCGTCAACTCATTAGTAGAGACTTTAAGAACTGAAGTGGGACAGAAAAGTTGTGAGTTGTGAGAAAATACGATGCGTGTCAGATCCACGTCAAGTTCAGCAGCGGCAGCTCTTAAAGTAATAGCACCAAAAAAACCTAACCCAGCTGCTGTGATGTCTGTTAATCAAAGAACAAAGAACAAAAAATAAATAAATAAAAAATCAATAACTGTTGTAGCTTTAAAGGGGTCATATGATGCGATTTCAATTTTTCATTTCTCTTTGGAGTGTTGCAAGCTCTTGGTGCATAAAGAAGATCTGTAAAGTTGCAAAGACTAAAGTCTCAAATCCATAGAGACATATAAAAGTTAAGAGTCAACCACGCCTACCTAAAACGGCTCGTTCTAACACGCCCCCACATGTCTACGTCACGATGTGGGAAGATTTGCATAATGCCGCCCAAATGTTCACGCAAAGAAAGGCGGCGTAACTTTTATTCTTGCTGTAGTATTGTTGCCGCCGCCGCCATGTCGTGAAGGCGCTGTGTTTCGTTGTGAAAGCGAAACTACTTTGTTTGCAATTCGAGTAAATGTGTAAAAGGTATGGCACGATGCCATCCTTCTAGAACAATGTGCATATATGTTAAAGTTGTAACATAAATTATCAAGTTTAGTTATTCTTATTTCTTTATTGCAAAATGCTAAAACTCGCACCGTTTTGGAGAGAAATGGCCTCTCATTGTAACCCATATCATGGTGTGTGATGCTGAACTATGAGTTTCTAATGGTGTTTGTATTTGCACTGCTCTAAACATTAATATTTTATGTGCAACAACAGCATGCTGTCTCAGTGGCCTTACACATGATTTTAAATCTATTTTTTCAAACTTTATGATTTAAATGGGGATGATTGTACTAAGAATAACTTTCATCTTTTCTTCAACTGAATACTGTTTCCGTGCTGTTTTGATGTATGATGTTTTAAAGAGTTGGCAGTCAAAATTAAAACTGCTGGATGATAGATATTCTTCATTCTTTATGACAAACAAGATAATGTGAATTACAGAATGTACAACGTTTTTAAAATGTATAAATTGCGGTGTACAGCGTTTATTATGAATCCACAGCTCAGTACTTAATACTCAATACTTATGAGTACTTTTAAACAGGCTACTCTTTTACTCTTACTCAAGTAGTTTTTTGGACAAGTACTTTTACTCTACTCGCACTACATTTTTTGGAAGGTAATGGTACTTTTACTTGAGTATATGTTTTCAGTACTCTTTCCACCACTGCATTTAATATAATGGGTTTATGTGAAGATTGCTTGAAATTCCCTTAAATTAAATTAAGTTATTTTTCTAATAAATGTTAAAATTGATAGTTCTCAATTATACTGTAATGTTGAATGGCTACAGTTAATGGTTAAACTTTAGAGAAAAAAATCTATTTCATAGAGACATCAGTAGTACTGGTATCAGTGATACTCGCATTCAGTCTTAAAAAAACAACTAAACTAATATTAATCGATTAATCACGATTAATCACAATTTCAGGAAAAATGTGCAATTAATTAGTTATTTTTAATCGATTGACAGCACTAGTTTGACATAATATTTACTAAATTAGAAATCATTTGAAAACATGTATCAATATGAATTTTTAAAAAACGATTTAGTTAAAATGTGTGACACTATTCAATTCAAAGACAGAAAATAACATGTTGCATTGAAATTTACGTTTATTTTACATATTTACTAAATTAGAAATAATTTGAAAATGGAAAAAAATTATATGAACTTGATAAAAAAAATCTAGCAAGTCTGTGTGTACAGCAAATGATATGTTCTCTTATTTTACATACAGTAAACTCTGAATATGACACAGTGCATACATCAGAGGATCTAAAAGTTGGACTCCAAAAGTTTGCAAAGTATGTGGCATTAAATATTTCTGAGATATTCAACAACTTTTTAATGGATAAAAAGCATTTTTTCTGAATGCAGACAGCACATGAGTAAGTATTGTAGCGCTTACCTTTGTATTATTATTCATATAAAAGTTATTTTATTATAATTGTTTTTCAAATTTAGTTTTCTTTCTTTGTTTAACAGTTCTGTCTAATAATTTATAAGATAGTAAACAGTTAAACAAAGACAATAAACTAAATAACAATAAACTAAATAAAATGGAGAATGAGAGCTCAGGTGCTAGTGTTCTCAGCATTGCCAAAATAAAAAAAAGTCTTGCTTTTGAAACTTGTTGGGCAAAAATAAAAACGTAGCAGCTGCTACAATATATAAAAAAAAAAGCCAAATATTAGCCGATAAATAACAGCATTGGTGATCCACTGGTCAACCACTAATCTCTGCTGCTGAGCAGTGGCTACTCGCCTCAGAGGGACAGTGAGAGGTAAAATCCTCCAGCTATGTGCACTTCTAACCCTCTGGGAAAGAATTTGGGGTGCCAGTGACAAGCACAACACAGACCCCTCACAACGACCAGCCGAATGCCACGGAGCTTAAAGAGAACAAATATTGGCAGAAGAGATGGCTAGGGGTGGAGGGGAGGGTGGTGGTTTTAAAGACAGTTCAGAACCGTAAATGAGGGCTTCCCATGGAGAAGGTCATGTCACGATAACAGCTTCACAAGCCAAATTCTGACAAATTCTGTTTCTAGATGTCTTCTTTTTGGTTGTTTTGCTACATTTACATTTAGTCATTTAGCAGACACTTTTATCTAAAGCGACTTACAAATGAGGACAATAGAAGCAATCAAAATCAACAAAAGGGCAACGATATGCAAGTGCTATAACAAGTCTCAGTTGGCTTAACGCAGTACACGTAGCAAGTTTTTTTTTATATATATAATAAAAAGAAAACAGAATAGAAAAAGAATAGAGCAAGTTAGTGTTAGAGATCTTTTTGCTTTTGTTAATTGTATAATAAATAAAAAGAAAACAAATAAATAGAATACAAAAAGACTAGAGCAGCTAGTGTTAGTTTTTTTTTTTTTTAAGAAAACATGCAGTTAGTAAATGAACAGAGTGCAAGTCTAAAAGGGGAATGTTTTTTTTAAAGAATAGAATTAGAATAGAGAGTGCTAGAGTTAGAGGGTCAAATAAAGATGGAAGAGATGTGTTTTTAGCCGATACTTGAAGATGGCTAAGGACTCAGCTGCTGGGATTGAGTTGGGCAGGTCATTCCACCAGGAGGGAACATTTCATTTAAAAGTCTGTGAAAGTGATTTTGTGCCTCTTTGGGATGGCACAATAAAGCGACGTTCACTTGCAGAACGCAAGCTTCTAAAGGGCACATAAGTCTGAAGTAATGAATTTAGATAAAGGGGTGCAGAGCCAGTGGTGGTTTTGTAGGCAAACATTAATGTCTTGAATTTTAAGCGAGCAGCAATTGGTAGCCAGTGGAAATTGATAAACAGAGGTGTGACGTGCATTCTTTTTGGCTCATTAAAAATTAATTTTGCTGCCGCGTTTTGGATTAATTGTAAAGGTTTGATAGAACTGGCTTGAAGACCTGCCAAGAGAGCATTGAACTAGTCCAGCCTGGACAGAACAAAAGCTTGAACAAAGAGTTGTGAAGCATGTTCTGAAAGAAAGGGCCTGATCTTCTTGATGTTTAATAAAGCAAATCTGCAGTACCGGACAGTTTTAGTAATGTGGTCTGAGAAAGTCAGCTGATCATCAATCATAACTCCAAGGTTTCTGGCTGTTTTTGAAGGAGTTATGGTTGATGTGCCTAACTGAATGGTGAAATTGTGATGAAACAATGGGTTTGATGGAACTACAAGCAGTTCTGTCTTGGCAAGGTTCAGTTGAAGGTCATGGTCCTTCATCCAGCAAGAAATGTCAGTTAGACAAGCTGAGCAGCTATCGTCGGATTATCAGGATGGAATGAAAGGTAAGAGTTGAGAGTCATCAGCATAACAGTGATATGAAAAGCAATGTTTCTGAATGACAGAACCTAGTGATGCCATGTAGACAGAGAAAAGAAGTGGTCCAAGAACTGAGCCCTGAGGCACACCAGTTGTTAGATGTTGCGACTTGAACACCTCACCTTCCCAAGATACCTTGAAGGACCCATCTCAGAGGTAAGACTCAAACCATTGGAGTGCGATTACTGAGATGGCCTTTGCCAATAGGGTTGACAGGAGGATCTGGTATTTAACCGTGTCAAAAGCAGCGGACAGATCCAGCAAGATAAGTATTGAAGATTTGTGTATTTGCTAACAAGATTCTACATCCAAAGTTGATTTTCGATTAATATTTGCATTTTGTTCTGAACAAGAATAAGCACACTGGATGAATGAGAATGAAAATTGTTGAATGTCTTCTATCTGTAGATTCATGGGTGTTGTGGATTCTGCTTACCTGCGATGGAGTGACTCGGAGAACTTCAAGCTGGCGTAAATAAACTCCTTCACTTGAGAGTAGATTTGAGGCACTGACTGGGACATGGGCAGCTTCTTTGGAAATTGTTGCTGATTAATAAACAAGAAAGACAATAAAAGGTGATTCATGTCCAGTCGATAAGAACAGACATTCACAACCCATTTTCCAAGAAATACTTGCACTTTCTTTTGTGTTCACTTGTGAATCACACTGGTATATATATATATTTTTCAATACAAGGTACGAATTATCTCAAATAATTGGCCAAAATGGCTTTCTTGGAAAGAATCTTTTAGAATATCCATCAGCATATTAGTTTGATTTCTGAATCACTGGATTATTGGCTGCTGAAAATTCAGCATTGCCATCACAGAAATATATTACATTTTAAAATATATTAAAACAGAAATCAGTTTGTTTAAATTGTCAAATGTTTTATAAGAGACTTCTTTCATACATTAACAATAAAGAAAAATAACAACAAAAATCTTATTTCAACCTTTTCTATCTCTGCATCATGGAAGGGGAAGCGACTGATCACGGCCTTATACTCCTCTTCATTTTCCACTGGAATGGGGCTGTAGTTGTCCTGCTCAAAAATATCCCTGTTTCAGCAGAGGAAACACAGATGTCACTGTATAACGCAGAATCTACCCATATCAATTCACTAACACCAGAAACAATGCAGTTGTAGTTCAGCTCACCTGAACACCAGGGCCCATTTTTTGAGCAATGTTTCGTTGTACTGATCTCTAACCTCAAACAAAAGGTCAAAAAGTCTGTTGACAGGGAAGCCATAACCCTACAAAACCAAGGCAATTACAGAATCAGAATGAGCTTTGCCAGGTATGTTTACACACACAAGGAATTTGTTTTAGTGACAGAAGCTCCACAGTGCAAAAGAATGACAGTGACAAGACAAGACACACTAAAAAGAATATTATACAAATATACAAAATAGACAATGTACAAAATAGCAAAAACACAATATACAAAGTAGACAATTTTGTATGTACAGGTATGTTATGTGCATAATGTAAATGTAAATAAGTATGTGTTAAATAAATGTATGATAGTGTTGTGTGTTCCACGGTTTATTGTCAAGTGTTCGTGAGATGTAAGTGTTCAGTGAGTAAGCAGCAGAAATTATACAGAAATTATAGTTCAAGTTTATAAAATGTACAGCATATAGATATCTTGACATTAATGTTTGATATAAATATTAATAAAATCTAAGTGTAATTCAAGTGAAATTAACAGATATACTTTAAACAAAAAGTTGGAGAATACCTGTAAAGTGTCTGCAAATATAACTATTAGGTTCTTCAGTTCTAGGACCAGGTCGGGATCATTGCAGTAGGACTAGTGGGTTAAAAAAAAACAATAAGAATGATAAGAATGACAACAAAACAGTGCATCTTCAAAATAGCAGTCTTTACAAATGTGTTTAGAACATAACGCATCTACGGGTGAATCTTTTAAAGAAATGTGCAGGTCATATTTCACTCCAAAATAAAAAGAAATAAAATTAGCAAAACGATTTTAGAAGTGAAGCCAATTTATCATGATAACAAATGACAACAAATAAAATCACTCTTATATATTATCATCATAATTTACAATAAAGAAATATTAGATATAGGCCTATATATTTTTAGATTTATTAGATAGATATATTTTTACTTTTCTTTTAAAGATAACTTGAGAACTGGATGAAGCTTGTACTTAATTAAATGTATTATTGCAAAATATATTTTCTTTCATTCTTTTAATTTTGGTTTGAAATATGAGCCAGACATTCTTTCATTCGATTCACCCCGAAAACTGCACAATAAAACCTTGTGTTATCAATCCATTCAAACAGAGGATCCAAGACCCAACGAATCACATTTCTGCAGACCAGATTAGTTTAGGTTCAGCTTTTCCCTCTAAAACCCCTTTCACACTGCACGTTGGTCCCGGAAAATTGCCGGAGTGCCTTCTGTGTGAACGCAAACACGGTTGGGGACCTAGTAACATTGCCGGGTTCAATCCCGGAATGAGCTCTGTGTGAACAAAAGCCAGAATCAATGCAGTAAAGGGTGTCGTAGTGATGGCGCACGTTATCGTGTGACTCTTTTACCAGGTGTTTTGAAGGAAGATCAATGTTCACGACGAAAAATATGTGCAAACTGTAATGAAGCAGAGATCAGGTAGCTCCTCGCTATCTGCGCTGAAGCTGTGATCGTTCACCAGCTAGTGAACCGGAACGCGTCACATTACACGTCACATCACAACGTCACGTGTCTTTACGGGATCTATACAGGATGTGCGTGAATGCACACACAGATTCCGGAAAATCACTGGCAGTGTGAATGAACCACAATTAAACGATCCCGGGACAAATCACGGGACACATTATCCGTGTATTTTCCGGAATTTCTGTGTGAAAGAGGCTTAAATGGGTAACTCTCAGCCAGTCACTCATTGATCAAATACACTTGTGTCTTAATGAGTCTTTAGGTTACATTAGCATCTAAATGAGGCCATCCAGCCCTCCCCAGCTGCTGATGGAGGAGGCCTGTCCGTGAGCTTAAATGGGAGAGAGCAGTGATTGACCCAGGCAGGGGAGTGATGGCTGACAGGATTAGTCAGTGTCTGAGCACACAGGCCTGCCCACCCACCGCCGTATGAAACCCCACGGCACCGTGCGGCACCGCTTCGATCGCTGAGCATCTATGATGTGACAAGTGTCCAAACTCAAACACACTTCATTACATCATTAAAAAAACAAACAAACAAAAAAACAAAGCTATTTGAGACTTCTATAACAAGAACAGATGCCAAGTTAAAGATGTTCATGTTGATGAACTTTTGTTATTACCCTCTTTTAATACACACTATTTACTTTATTAGGTCATTAAAACCATAAAGAGTACTATAACCACTATAA